GAGAGAGAGAGAGAGAGAGAGAGAGAGAGAGAGAGAGAGAGAGAGAGAGAGTGTGTGTGTGTGTGTGTGTGTGTGTTGTTTTTGTACATGTTATGCACTGTGCCTTGCTAGTGACAACGCTGAAAGTTAACTTAACCCATATCTTATGTCATCTAACATTCAGGGTCAGAACGTTCTGTTTTTGTTTTTTTCTCTAACCTTATCTTACCTTATCATGCATTATGCGGTACCCCGTATCATGTACAATTTTTTTTTAAACTCAATCCTTATGATCCTGTCATTTCTTTTCCTTTTTTCATATCTCATTTAATTTCCTCACGGTAGTAATTTTTTCGTATTAGGACAGAGCATCTTGGTTATCACATTTTACCTGTTCTCAACATTTATCTTATTTATTACCTCTTCTTATTTATTATGTCTTTTTTTTTAAAATACTATCTCGTTACAGCACACCTTACCAAATCATTCATATCTTATGACCTCTCGTCAGATTTAATAAAAAATCTCATTATATGTAAAGCAATCTTGTCAAACTCATCTCACCTCCTCTCAACTCACTGTATGTAGTTACACATGTATATCATTACATCGCTTCATATTTCGTCACAGATATTGTCATCATATCCCATCATAATATATCATCTTGGGGGCTCTCGTGGCCTAGAGGATAAGGTGTTCGCCTCTCATTCAAAGGTCCCGGGTTCGAATCCGGGTAGCGACGGACACATTTTCTTCTAAAATTGTCTCCTTTCCTCCTATCCTGCTCTCCAACAATGTTCTGTCGTTTGCTTTCGTCTCCAGTTTCTGCCCCCACCCCCTCACCCCTTTGTCCCTTCCTCTGGGCTCCCGACTCTTTCTGCAGCTTTTCTACTGCTACTGCTAGGTTCCTTTTTACTGTTGTCTTTCAGTCACACCAAAAAAAAATAATATATATATCATCTTTTTGTGTTAGATAACTTTATACCTCACCATATCTAATCATATGTCACCATACCCCATCATGCGCCATCATTTTATATTACATGTCATTTTACGTTATCATATGTATCATACCTCATCATATTATATCATATGTTAATATGTCTCTATACCTTATCATATCTCATCATATTTGTCAAAACTTTTCATATTATTATATTTATCATTTTAATATGTTATGTCTCACCATACTATATATATATATATATACTATATATCATCATCATGTCATCATCATCGTATCATTTGTCATTATGTTTTGTTACATCTTGCCAAGTTCACAATATTTCATTATATCTCAGCATAATAAGTCATTATATCTTATCATACGTCGTATCTTTATATCGAATTGCATTTCGTCATATCTATTGTCAACATATTTCATCATAATATATCATCGTATTTAATCAGATCACAAACTATCTCACCGTGTCACATTATACCCTAGCATAATTTGTTATGTCAAAATTCAATTGTATCTTTTCATCTTATCCTATCTTATGTCCATACGTCAAATTATATCTTTTCGGATCTCATATTTCGTCTAGGTTCACGCCATGTTTTGTCTTCTACCTGGGAGCCACAGTGCCGTGTGTCTGGCTTCTGGAGCTGGACAAAACTGACCGCTACCAGGAGGGCACCGTGGACCAGCTAGACAAAATGGACAACAACACCAGCAGTGGGCTGTCCGTGAGTCACTCTGTTCTGTTTGGTTTTTATGCGAAATGAGCGCCATGCAAAACATGTATATTTTTCTTTACGGCTTGGCGTTTAGCATGACAAATTATGTAATTGTAGGTATTTGCACCCCAATCAACACAATCCGTAGAGGTGGTAGTTGACGGTGCTGCTGATGTCATCCTCTGTTTTCCTTTCTTACACAAGAAGCAACGTTGCTTTCTGACTTGTATTGTCTCGAGAAGAACGTAAACACTTACAATCAACCAATCTAAGATCAAGATGCAAATCTTCTCCCAAATACAAACAGCAGACAGTACACACACAAAAATACAAAAATTAACGAAGAAGTAAAGGCTTGCACGTGTTTCAGTTTACTTTCACTTCTATTTCGTTCTAGGTCGGTATAAGCCTGAACCCCAACATGTGGACGATCCTGATCGAGGAACTTCTCCTGTACATCCTCATCGTAAGCCGGTGGGTGCTCCCCCGTGGCGAAGTGACTCGAGAACAACTCTCTGAACTCCTCTTCGCCTTCATCGGCATCGCCTCGGACATCATGGAGATGTTCTCCTTGTTCGGGGAGAGCGTGGTGCGCAACAACAAGTACATGGCCTACTGGATCCTGGTGGTCTGGTCGGTGTCCGTGCTGCAGTTTACCATGACGGTCACTGTGACGCATCAGCCGAAGAAGGCGAAAAACATCAAGGTCATCGTTGACCAAGATGAGGCCCTTGAGAGTGCGAAAATTCGGAATGAGGTGAGGATAAAACGAGTTCAAGGTCAGATAGATAGTCCCGATCAGATCGTATCAGATGGGGTAAGAATGTGCATGTATAAGAATACGATAGATCATTTCGGATCAAATAAAAGAAATAGAGCAAGGTAGAAAAGATATGGTGGGACTAGAAATGTTATGATAAGACGGAGCGGATCACCCAGACATGATAAGAGAAGATGGGAACATGTTATGCTCCATATTGACTTATGACTGTTATACGGCTCTCCTTCGAGATAATGTTTCGACATGTGGTCTAGTTGAGCAAACAATAGACGGGTTTCTTTGTATTTTTTATTGGCTTAGTGGGTTTCTGCGACACATGGTACGTGTTTTTGCAGGTTTGTTTGTGTGGGGA